GTGATTGATATGTTTTCCTAATACATATTTCATTTCCGCACCGCTATCATCTCCAAGAACATCGAAGAATAAAAATCCACTACATTTCTCTAAACTAGTGGTTTTCCCCACACAAAAATAAAAGCTACAAAACAAGCATTGCATTATACACCTGGCCACATCGTTACAATCGCAGGTGAAGAGAGGGAAAGTTAACCCAACATCTACAAGAAGGTGCAGGGAACCCATACTACCTTCATAGGTATCCCAGGAATGGAAGAATTATGTTACTAGGAGGGTAAATGATTAGAAAACTCCTTCCGTCAATATAGAGCATATGATAAATTAGTAATAAAAATGGCATATAAATAGAAAAATATTAAAAGATCTCACCCGAATGACCTAGTGAGTTTGCAGCGTTATGTTTTCGGACATACTTTATTTAATTTAGGTGGAACTAACTTCACTACAGCATACTTCGAAAATATCAGTCATGCCTTTTTGTTGATGTTAATTTAAGGTGACAAAACATGTCATTTGTGAAATTTAACGAAATCTTTCATAGCATTGGATCACTTTCTGTTCATTTCTATAAAACACTCAGTTTGTTAACATTTGTCACTTTCGCTCTAGTGGATCATTAAAAATCACATATCTGTCAGTTAAGCTGAGCGGACGCGGCTGCCACACGGTTAGAAAAAAAAACTGGCCTAAAAGAGTGCCACAACCAACTCGGCTAAATATTAAAGCAAACGTTCTAGGACTACTTTACTTCTAAATTTTCATCCTGCACCACTGTACATTGACAATTCTACAGCATACGCTGTTTATTTGCAAAATTTATTCATCGTTTTTCCAAGTGCCAGAAATAGACATGCTAACAAAATATGCAAACTTATAGGCATTATTCATGAGGTTTCTCGAGGCACTACTGTCTGTTGCATGACTCTGAAACATGAAACACACATGTTGTCCCCATGTCTTCGGTGCATTGTGGGATGGGATTTCTTGCGTGCACTTGCCTGTGTCAGGCAGCAAAACCGACATGAAAAGACTATATCCAATGCAATGCAATGTATATGCATCTGCTAAGCCGATGGGATTTCTCTCTATTTCCGATGGTTTGCAAAGATGACAATGGCAAGGCAAAACATGAAATGGTTTTTATTTTATTTTGGATAAGCAAATTTCAAATTCAAATTCAAAGTTATGGTGTTTTGACGACAGTGGAGTTTGATGCATTGTTGCATATGGACTTACGGAAAGAATCGATGTTGAATCATAAATCTGAGCTTTATAAGTTTAAAAAAGAACGTCAATTAAGATTTTGAGGCATTTCTTGCTGATAGCTTGAAGTACCGCACGTACTTGGTTCGTGTCTCCGTTGTGAGCATTGGCTTCGTAGCCGGTGGAGCTTTTTTTTTCTCACCAAAGTGGTTTTTTATATCGCCCAAGCGCAATGACAGCGGAAGTGGAACGGCAGCAGAAAAGCCCGATCTGAGTAAACCTACTTGTCGGATTGAAAACTAGTTAGAACAAAATCGACTTGGGTTAGACATCTTGACTATCAAACTTTCCGTTCCCGTTCAGCTTCCGCCCACTTTGAGTTTGGACCTTTATTCTCTACCGTGGACGATGGTTCAGTGCCCATGGCAACCGCAGTCAGCAGAGAAAGTAAGCACCTAGAGCAACATTTTAGGAGGACTAATCATCATCACCGCATCATCCCACCTTCATCATCTCATCACCACTCCAAAGCAGCAAGTAGCAAACGGAGTGGCTACACCAACTCACACAGCGGGTGCAAGCCGACTGTTCGCACAGCATGCGTGAGGAACCAATTCACCGTACCTGTCTTTTGCATCATGGCTACATCGACGAATTTCACCACCTAGGCAGATTGGATCCTGCACTGAACCGAAACCAATGATGTGTCATCACGTCGTGTCATCAATGACTTCCGATGATTCAGTCAATATAAAAACCTAAGAAACCCGTCTAGGGCGACTCTTTTTGATTATACCGACCAGCAGATTAGCATCAAGCGAGGAATAGTGGAACTACTTACAGTGAAGATTAAAAATTGTGAATTATATACTCTAATAAGAAGTTAAATAAATTAAGAGTTTAATTAGTAGCTTAAAGCCAAGTTAGTGAAATAAAAAGAAACTATTGGTGATTAATAAATCGTATGTGGACTAGAATTACTTACCTGTGATGAAGATCATACCTGAAAGGGAAGAATATACTTACCTGTGAATTGTAACACGAACCTGAAAGAAAGTGATTATACCCGTGAAAACTTCCCGCCTTTCTGAGTATCGGAACATGGTCCTTCGAACCGGATGAACGTCGAACTCCGTTCATCAACGAACCGCCTGCCAGAACCGCCTGCCAGAACCGCCATCTTGCTTCTGGAACATTCTGGAGAGGTTGCCACGTGGTATTCGTCAATCACCGTTTGGATTACGACATCTTGGGCATTGCTGTCCCGCCAGTGTAGTTGGCGTTGATATACTACAAGGCATTAAACTGCCTATATCAGGTAATTAAATTTCCAATTATCTACACCTGTATCGTTTGAGCTACGCGGTCTTTTGTTTGCAGACCATGACTTCAAACGAACGCCGCATTCGATACCTCAGGCTGCGACTACGCAGTATTTCGTCGTCGTTTACACTCATCAAGCAATTCGTGGACAAGTACGATGAGCAGGAAGATGAGACTGAGGTTCCAGTGCGCCTTGAAAACCTTGTTACGCTGTGGGCTGAATTCAACAAAGTACAGATCGAGTTGGAGTCACTGGATGATGAAACCTTTGAGGAGTATCTGAAGCAGAGAACGGAAATGGAATGTCAGTACTATCGCGTAAAAGGGTTCTTGCTCGCCGTGAATAAATCACCTTCACCGTCCCTAAGGTCCCCGGGTACTTCAAACGCTCTTGTCTCTGCTTCGACATCGCACTTGCGGTTGCCTGATGTGAAGCTTCCCGTATTCAGTGGAAGCCTAGAGAACTGGCTCAACTTCCACGATCTTTATCTTTCGCTAGTTCATTCCTCGCAAGACATCTCAAATATTCAAAAATTCTACTATCTCCGTTCATCGCTTTCCGGAGAGGCCCTCAAGTTGGTACAGACAATACCTATCAGTGCCGTCAACTATCCAGTCGCATGGAATCTGCTGGTTGAACACTATCAGAACACTAATCGTCTGAAGGCTTCGTATGTAGATGCGCTTTTTAAATTTCCCGCCATCAAACGAGAATCGGCATCCGAGTTGCACTCTCTCGTCGAGAAGTTCGAGGCCAACGTTCGTGTTCTACAACAGTTAGGGGAACAAACTGACTCTTGGGATATCCTGCTAATACGCATGCTGAGTAGCCGTCTTGATCCGATAACCCGGAGGGATTGGGAGGAACATTCGTCCGAACTCGAGGAAGTCTCGTTCCAACACCTAACCGCTTTCATCCAGAGAAGGGTCACCGTGCTTCAAACCATCAACCACAAAAGTCCCGAGATTGCTCCGCCACTTGTGCCTAAGAAACAACCCACAAAACGTCCGTTCACCAGTCATGGGGCTTCCCAGTTTAGCGCTAGAAAATGCATTCTTTGTACCGAGCAACATCCGCTGTACATGTGTTCGACATTCTCTAAGATGGGCTTGGAGGATAAAGAAAAGGAGATTCGACGTCACCAGCTTTGCTGAAACTGCGCAAAGGACATATGTGTAGGGATTGCCCGTCAAATAGCACCTGTCGTCGATGTAAGGGTTGTCACCACACGCAGCTTTGCGGGACTGAACCATCGAGTGCGCCAACCCAGAAAGTACCCGAAAGCACACCCGGGAAGCCAACGTCCACGCCTTCTACTAGTGAACAACCCACCACATCAGTTTCTGCAGCTCAACTGCAACCGACAAGCTATGCCTCATCTGGACAAAAACGAGCCAACATAATACTAGCTACAGCCGTCATCATCGTAGTCGATAACAACAACCAGTCACACGTAGCCAGAGCTCTGCTGGATTCAGGGAGCGAATACTGTTTCGCTTCGGAGTCATTTTCTCAACTGCTGAAGGTGCATCGCAAGAAGGTTTCCATCCCAATTGCGGGTATCGGCTACTCTACTACGCAATCACGATCGAAATTCTCCACCATGATACGTTCTCGAATCAGCGACTATTCTACTACGGCTGAGTTTCTCGTACTCCCTAAAGTAACCGCCGATTTACCTGCAACGCCGGTGGACATTTCGTCTTGGAAAATTCCACCTGGGGTTCAATTAGCCGACCCATCGTTCTTTACCACCACCCCGATCGATCTGGTTCTCGGTGCGGAAATCTTTTTTGATCTTTTTAAGACTCCTGGTCGAATCCCACTCGGAGACAACTTACCAACCCTCGTAAATTCTGTCCTAGGCTGGGTGGTATCAGGTCGATCAAACCATTGCCAACCACCCACGACAATCACCGCAAATTTAGCTGCCATCGACGATTTGCATCAACTCATGGAACGTTTCTGGAGTATTGAAGAGGATGACACTTCTCCTTGTTATTCAGTAGAGGAAGCGGCCTGTGAAGCTCACTTTCGTCAAACTGTTACCCGCTCACCTGAAGGCAGATACGTTGTTCGATTACCTGTGAAGGAGGATATTCTAGCAAATCTCGGTGACAACCGTCACACCGCTATCCGTCGCTTCCGGCTAGTGGAATCCAGGCTGCAACGAAACCCAACTTTGTGTAAACAATATTCAGATTTTATGAAGGAGTACCACGAGCTAGGACACATGAAACGTGTATCGCCCAATGAAGACTCATCCACCCGCACTTACCACCTTCCACATCACGCCGTAGTACGTGAGGAGAGCACAACGACTAAAGTGAGAGTCGTTTTTGACGCATCATGCAAAACCAGCAGTGGCCCATCCCTAAATAATGCCTTGATGGTTGGGCCAATAGTTCAAGACGATATCAGATCCATCGTTCTGCGCTCGAGAATTCATCCTGTGATGCTGATTGCAGACATGAAGCAAATGTATCGCCAAATACTTCTTGACGAACGGGATTCTCCTCTACATAGGACCGTCTATAGAAGTTCCCCCGACAGCACTCTAGACACCTACGAGCTAAAAACGGTAACATACGGCACCGCTAGTGCCCCCTTTCTGGCAACAAGAGTCCTGCAACAACTTGCCGAGGACGAACAGCATCATTTCCCAGAGGCAGCAACTGTCCTACGCAAGGACGTTTATGTCGACGATCTTATTTCAGGCAGCAGCAACATAACCGACGCCATCAACCTTCGAAAACAACTGCAAACATTGCTGGCAAGAGGTGGCTTCGAATTACGCAAGTGGGCCTCGAATGAATCCGCAGTCTTGGAAGATGTCTCTGCTGAAAACAAGGCTCTGCAGCAGCCAGTGGATCTAGATCACGACCAACTCATTAAAACGCTTGGCCTTCATTGGGATCCAACCGCCGATGTGTTGAGGTACAAGGTGAAGATGCCCCAGCTAGACGCGACCTCAACGTTAACTAAACGCCTCGCTCTCTCTTACATTGCCCAGCTTTTCGACCCGCTCGGCTTGGTGGGTCCTGTCGTCACTACCGCCAAACTATTTATGCAGTCATTATGGACCTTGAAGAACAGCAACGGAAACATATGGGGCTGGGACGAAGAGCTTCCTGCAGTGGCGCGGGATCGATGGCAATCCTACCACGAACAGCTACCTCTTCTAAACCAGCTAAAAATTAAACGATTCGTGATGTGTCCCAACGCTTCGAAGCTGCAATTGCACTTCTTTTCGGATGCATCGGAGAATGCATATGGTGCATGTGCATATCTGCGATCGGAAAACGTGTCAGGCCAGGTCAAGGTTGCATTGCTGACCTCCAAGTCCAAGGTCACACCACTCAAGCAGCAGAGTATTCCACGACTGGAATTATGTGGTGCCCTTCTATCGACCGAACTGTATGCAAAGATAACTTCTTCACTCTCCCTGCAAGCTGAAACGTACTTTTGGGTCGACTCGACAACAATTTTAAGCTGGCTGAAGTCTCCGCCGTCTACTTGGACCACCTTTGTGGCTAACAGGGTGTCCAAAATACAGCTTTCCACATCCAGCAGCATCTGGAGGCACGTAGCTGGTGAACAAAATCCAGCAGATTGCCTTTCTCGAGGAACATCAACAGAGTTTCTTCTCACCAGCAAGCTTTGGTGGCAAGGGCCACAATGGCTACAAGGAGACCTAACGGACTGGCCAATCTCTCCTCAAGGCAGTTCAACAATGCATAGCCCAGGCGAGGTTCGAAAAACACCAGCAACTATCTTTTCCGCCACAGTAGAAGATTCCTTCATCGACTCGTACGTCAACAGGTTCTCCAACTACCAACGCATGATCAGAGTGACATCCTACTGCAAGCGTTTTCTGCAAAACTGTCGGCTTCAGAATTTACTTAGACCAGCATCACACGTCATCACCATGGAAGAAAAAGCAGGAGCTGAAAATACGCTGATCAGATTAGTGCAACAGCAAACCTACCCTAACGAATGGAAATCCCTTCAGCAACAACAGGCCGTCTCCGGAAAGTGTCGCCTGAAATGGTTCCAGCCAATGCTCGACTCGGAAAATCTCATCCGTATTGGGGGTCGTCTAAATCGATCGTAGCAAACCTACGACAGTAAACACCAAATCATCCTTCCATCTGCGCATCCGTTGGCTGGTTCGTAGCTTCCACGAGAATAATTTGCACGCCGCTCCTCAGTTACTACTAACCCTACTTCGCCTCCGTTATTGGATTACTGGGGCCAGAAATCTGGCCCGAAACATCTTCCACCAGTGTACCATTTGCTTCCGAGCTCGTCCGAAACGACTACAACAGTTTATGTCGGAACTACCAGCAGCACGAATAACCGCAGCGAGACCATTTTCAACGACCGGAATCGACTACTGGGGACCGATTACCATCCAACCAGCACACCGGCGAGCATCTCCACGGAAAGCGTATGTCGTGGTGTTTGTGTGCTTTTGCACAAAGGCTGTCCATCTCGAGTTAGTTGCCGACCTAACTACCGCCAAATTCCTGCAAGCTTTGCGTCGCTTCGTCTCACGTCGGGGATTATGCTCGGTCATTTACAGTGACAACGGCCGTAATTTTGTTGGAGCCGCCAACGAGTTGCGTCAGCTAGTACGAAGCAAGGAACATCAGGATCAAATCGCCCAGGAGTGCGCCAATAACAATATCCGCGGGCAGTTCAATCCTCCTAAAGCATCTCATTTCGGTGGCCTCTGGGAGGCCGCAATCCAATCAGCACAGAGACACTTTATCCGAGCACTTGGAACGCAGACGCTCGCTTACGACGACATGGAGACGTTATTATCGCAGATAGAATGCTGTCTTAATTCCAGGCCACTCGTACCTATCAGTGATGATCCGTCTGATCTGGAACCCCTAACACCCGGCCACTTCCTGGTTGGGAGCGCCCTGAAAGCTGTGCCTGATGTCGATGTCTCCGCCGTTCCCTTCAACCGTCTGAGGAAATGGCAGCAAACACAGAAACTCTACGAGCAAATATGGGACCGCTGGCATCGGGAATATCTCGTCACACTACAGCCACGAACGAAATGGTGTAATCCGCCTGTGCAGCTCAACAAGGACCAGCTCTTTATCCTTATGGACGAAAACCTTCCTCCGATGCACTGGCCGACAGCCAGAATCGACGAACTTCATGCCGGACCAGACGGAGTTGTTCGAGTAGTCACCGTTCGAACTGCAACCGGCAAGTATACGCGACCAGTGACGAAAATTTGCCTGCTACCAATCGCATCTACTGCTGCACCAGAGGAATCTTCCAAGTTGAACTCGAACTCCAACACCAAAACTGCAACCAGCCATTCAGTCTCCAACGAATGAAAATTGCCGCTTTTCTACTCCTGATGCACCTGCAATAAAAATACAATGTGAAGCAGCAACGTCAGCCGTAGCATTCAACCAATGTAAACAATCATCGAGATCGCCATCGACTCAACTCAACAGTGACAATGATAGCCGCTTGATTGATCGACAATCGTCATCGAGTTTGCGTGACAGAAATGCGATTTCTGCAGGGGCCAGTGTGTTCGCACAGCATGCGTGAGGAACCAATTCACCGTACCTGTCTTTTGCATCATGGCTACATCGACGAATTTCACCACCTAGGCAGATTGCATCCTGCACTGAACCGAAACCAAAGATGTGTCATCACGTCGTGTCATCAATGACTTCCGATGATTCAGTCAATATAAAAACCTAAGAAACCCGTCTAGGGCGACTCTTTTTGATTATACCGACCAGCAGATTAGCATCAAGCGAGGAATAGTGGAACTACTTACAGTGAAGATTAAAAATTGTGGATTATATACTCTAATAAGAAGTTAAATAAATTAAGAGTTTAATTAGTAGCTTAAAGCCAAGTTAGTGAAATAAAAAGAAACTATTGGTGATTAATAAATCGTATGTGGACTAGAATTACTTACCTGTGATGAAGATCATACCTGAAAGGGAAGAATATACTTACCTGTGAATTGTAACACGAACCTGAAAGAAAGTGATTATACCCGTGAAAACTTCCCGCCTTTCTGAGTATCGGAACACCGACGTTAAGTATACTACACCAAACCAGGAGATGTAAGATTTGCTTACAATAATGAGCGATTCATCATCTCCACATCATGTTAGTGGAGACCGCATGAACGAAGGATGCGATCCAATGGAGTTGAAAAAGATGTGGAGTATGTAAACTTAATCATGTCTAAAAAAAAAATTGAAAAAAGGTTGACTGACTCGAACCGCGAACCTGGCGTCGCGTAACTTCACTTTTTACCTGTGCACCAACTTTCAACACCAGATTTATTGCCATATTCATACTTGAAAAATACTCTTAATCTTCTAGTTTACTCGAAATCTATCTATTGAAAGCAATATTTTGATAATTGGGTATGTTTTGAGAGTTGGGCACCGGTAGATTGAGGTTAAGGCGACGCCACTGGGCGAACGTATTATCAGGCCTACACTTTCTCCACTGCTCTCTCGGAATATGGATAGGTTAAAAGCGAATAAAAAGCGGAGGGAATCGTAGCAAGTGTGTACGTCGTTTTACAATTCAAAAAATAAAATGCTTGCTTAGCCGAAAGCGTAGACAGAATACGAAATAAAAAGATAAAAAAATAGTTCATCTGCATTGTCAACTTATATCATTCGCTGCGTTATTCGCTGAGGTATTCGCTGCGGAGGATGATAGGAAATACACCTAACATTAAATGTAATACATCTTTGGTTTTCGTGTGAAAATAGCCTACTCTATAGATTACATAGATAAGCGGAGGCAAAGTATAGTGTAGCCAAACGAACTGTCAGTTAGTGTAGCCAACCGAGCATGACGTCATCATGGTGTTTTTTTGAAGGAAGTATTGTTATATTAGAGCACAAAACGATTTCCACACTCCACATTCCAATTTATTTCGCGGAAAACGGAAGAAGGAAATATTACGAAAACCAATCTTCGATTCATTGTTGCAAAGACTTGATGCGCAAAAACAAATTAAAACAAAACTATACAACGAAGAGCTCTATGATGGCATGAACATTTTTCAAGCATCACACCAAATCATTTATTTTTCATGGTTGCAAAAACAACTTTTTTTTTTGGTTCCGTTTATCTATGGAAACTGAAGTATCTCTAGTCATCCCTAATCAAATTTGTTTGGTTATTTTGCTTAACGACTTGTTCAAGGTATCATTCAAACCATTGGTGGAATACTTCTATCATTTGGGTTATTGCTTTAATATTTAACCGGAGAATTTTTCGCTAAATAGTTCATTTCGACGAATGGGTCATTTCGCAAGTCATTTTCTACGGTTTTGAACTTTTCTCAAAACTCAGTAAATTTTTAAATCAGTCCCGTAAAAAGATTAAGAAGATTTGATTTTTTTTTTCAACCAGCTATTCAAATGTAATGCTTCCTTCTTTTGAACAGGAGCAGTTCTTTTGAGTAGGAACTGATTTCAGAAATTTCCAAATAGTAGATAGAGGAAAAATCTACTTCGCCCATTCCCGGCCTATCGAGCACAAAACATCAAATAGTGTTGAAGAATGCAAAATAAGATCTCGAAAACAAAAGGCGCGCCAGAAGTGTACAAAAAGCGCACGCGAATTATTTTTTCTTTCCGTTCGGTAGACCAATGATAATCCCAATGGCGTATCAATGGCAAATAGGTTCAAGAAAACCCGTAGGCCAAGTTGAGCCACCAGAAGCAGTTTTGCATTTTCAACAATAAACGAATATTTCACTACTCCTTTTCAGAACCAACGGTACATATGGAAAGGTAAATAATTTTGGAAGCCATCTGAAATAATGACATTCCGTTTGGCGCTAAACTACGCTAGATTATAAAAGACTAACTGCGGGTTGTGTTTAATAGGCCGGGAATGGGGTAGTTAAGCCTATTTTTGATTTATAGGAATACTTCCTTCTTTTAAACATGAATAGTTCTTTGGAGTTGTACTGATTTCGGAAATTTTTAATTAATCATTGTCATTGTCTCAAAGCTGCTTACTTACGACCAGGTTGATCTTGCCATTCTACTTGCCAAACTCGCGAAACTCGGTGCCTCTCAATGACTCGTAGACTTTTGAATCGTATCTTACCAATCGAGAGTTTTGTGTGAAATTCGGCTCTGATCAATCAGATTATTTTCCAAACAACTCAGGCGTTCCTCAATTTGTGAGCACTGCTATTCTCGATATTCATTAACGAAATAAGTTTGATGCTTCCTCCTGGCTGCCGGTCATTCTATGCAGACGATATCAAGAAGTACATGGTTGTGCGATGCTTCACTGATTACTTGCGGTAGCAGCACACAGCAAAAAATTAATTTTAATATCACATCAAAGTTGATGCACTTCAATCGTGTCAAAAATATGGTGTAATATTACTTGCCAAAAAGGACAAATTTATCATTAATACAGTGCATGAACTGACATTACGCTGCTTTTACTGCATTTGTTTATTTTTGGGACCATAAAAATTTCATGAGATTTTCGACATGATTGAAGTGCATCCTCTTGAATGTAATATTGAAATTTATTTTTTGCTGTGCACCTGATCGATAGTTTCGAAGAGTGGTGCTTCAGAAATTTTCTCACGTTGTGTGTTCACTTTCCATCGCAAGCTAACACCAATTGCATTCAATTATACGATCGATAACCAACCTCTGCAGTAGGTGGACAACGCTCATGATCTAGGAATTACACTTGATTCTGTTGTGACATGTAACAAGCTACATTACACGGATATCATCATCAGCGGTGCCAGATATACCGATTTATCGGAATTTATACCGATTTCTGAACGAGATACTGACAAACAGATAAAGTCCCTCAGAATACCGATTTTTGAGATTTTATACCGATTGATACCGATTTTTTTTTTAAATAATCAAAATATATTATTGCGCTCGAATTTCAGAGAAAATTACTGTGATAGACTTGTATCTCAAATTGTGTGAGCATTAAACATTCTAAAACTAAAACATCTTTAAAAATGTCTTATACCTGATATTCTTTCGACTAATGTTTCCAATTCTTAGCCGTTTTTGGCTACCCATGAAACGAGAAACAGTCAATGGCTCTGTCATTATCTAACTTCCTTGTTCTTTTTTTGCTTTCTGAATTTCCTTCCAACTTTCGGCTGGAGTATTCGTCCACCTTACACCATACGGTATATTTCGATTTCTCCCGAAAACTTATTTCAACTTCCCTTGGAAGCTTATTCAAACTTCGCTCTTCCGTCTTCCCTCGCCAGTTTTTTCAACTTTCCCGGCACTTTTTGGATGCTTCCAGATTATTATTGCGGATGCACACTAGCTGCAGGAACTTTTAAGAAGTTCCGAAACTTCAGATAAGTCCACACTTTTGAGTAAGTTTTAATAAATTCAAGATAGTTTCATTAACTTCTGTTAAAATTCGAAAACCCGTAAATTTCAGGAAAGTCCAGCAAACTCCAGTGAACTTACGGAAACATCAGAAATATTTTGGAAACTTCACAAGTCCAAAGAACTTCAGGGAAATTTAATGGTTTTCAGGACAGTTCCATTTGTTTCAGGATAATTGAGAGCATCAGGGAACAGATCAAATAAATAAATTGCCAGGAAATTGCTGAAATTTTAAAGGAGTTCCGAGAAACTCATGCAATTTCCGATAACTTCAGCAATGTTCCGAGGGGCTCATGCAACTTTAGAAAACGTAAGGGTAGTAACATGAACATTAGAACATGCTAATGTTACAATAAATTCAATTGCAATTGTGAGAGAACGTAAGAAATTTCGTAAGAAAGTTCAAAGACCTTTAAAGATGATTAGAGATATTCCGGTAGTCGCATTATAATCAGTGAAGTTCCGAGTACTTGGATGATGATCAAAGAACTCCAAATCAGCCCTATTAACTTCAGGAAAATTTCAAGAACTTTTAAGGAATTCCGTGGAATTATGGAATATTCCTAAGTGCATTTCAGGAATTTTCCGAAATCTTCAATAGCATTGCGGGGTCTTCAAGGATGTTTTATGAATATCATGAAAATTTGCTGGATTATTAGAATATCCTCCAGAAATCTCTGAATTATGTCCTTGTTTATATTGCCTGTTCCGTATGTGCTCTGGTTTCCGACTTTCTCCAGCAGTTTCTTCCAATCTACCTTAGGATGTTTCTGCCAGCGTCTCCAGAAGTTTCTTTCGTCGTCTTCTGGAAGTTTGTCCATAAGCCATAGGTTTTTTTTATTCGACTTCTACTGGAAGGTTTTTCCGAGCTTCTTCTGGTTTCCCTTGGAAATGGCTACTCCTGGCATTTCCTTCCGATTTCTGAAACTTTTCTGGCATCC